TAATACGGATTGACTGATATGAGGTGTTCACGGGTAACTGTACCAGGGACAGAGAGATGAGTTCAGTTGGAAAAAAAAAAAGAAAATAAAACCTCCCTCCAAAGCTTTACAGTGAGGCTAAAGGGAAAAGGGAGTAACTCAATATTTTAAACCCTAAATGATGTTTCATAGAAAGAAGATTCTTTTTTTTTTTTAACCATGAAAACTTTAGGTCAACTAAAGCAACTCACTTCATCTTAACCTCCATGGATTTTAGTGTACTCTGAGCTGCATTTGGTAGACCAGGGATGTCCTGATCATGGGGAGAAGCAACTGCATTGATCTCAGTAGAATGTTTATCGCACAATATATTTCAACAGACATCCCTGGTTGCCCTCTGTAGAATATTTTTAAGCTCTTAAGATAAAACAGAGTTTAACCAGCATTGCATGCTTTATTTTAACATTTCTGTAATGTAGCTTAATAATTATCCATCACTCCAATTGATCAGAGGTAGCTGTTAAAAAACAAAATAGAAATAAACTTGCTAACGAGGATCTTGAGAATATACTTGGGGTAAGAATGATCTGGATGTCAGGTGTCAGGGCTCCACTGCTCCTTGTCAGGGAGCTAAAATAGAAGTCAGCTCCTTTGCAAGCCTCGGCTTCCACTGCACGAGGCAGCAGGACAACAGGGGACAACACTGCTTTTACCTCTCCCAAAAGCATGTTAAGTCCTCTGGTAATCCTGCCCGCTGCAATGGCACATAGCAGTCAAGCAGGAGCAGAAGAGAGGGCGAGCTGACACCAACCAGGACCAGGTAGCGCATTCAGCTGTGATTGCAGCGATGGTGTCGTAATCGTCAGGAAAAGAGAAAAGATCCCAGGGTAATTTAACGGTAAGGAAGTATTACTAGTACCCCTCTGGGTTGTATTTACAGAGGATCTATGTCTACTATTACGTCAGTAAAGAATATTTAGCTTAGTGGTAGCAGCTGTTTTTATTTAGTCCTGTGCTCAGCTTTGGAGGAAGCCAAATTTTTATAGCTTTCTAGGATGTTAAGGATACTTAGGTTATTAAAGTGTTCTTTACAGAAAAGTTTCTAGCATGAAATACTGCAGATGAGGGTTCAGGGGGTTTCTTCGCATCCATCCTTTCAACATGAGTGATTTTTACTCTGAATGGACAAGGAGCTCTTATTTTCAAACACGTTCAAGGCAAGGTCTGCATAAATACAGATGGCAAAATCCATCATTCTGGAGGAAAATGAGGACAATGCTTTTGATGTCCACTGCCTCTCACCTCTTTGAGACTCCTCAGTCCTCCTCCTCCTCTATTTCATAGTCCGAATTTACCAAACAGCTTTGGGGCATCTAGAAAAAGAGAGGAGAGTACATACAAAACAATTTAATACTCTCTGTCAAAGCAAAGGTTTTTGCTTGGCCCCTGTTTAAGATCAAATGTCACGTGTCCCAGCAAGTCATTTATATTTCATGACATTTTCAGAGATGCTCAGATTAGGATCAAATTAGCTACCATCGGAATGGATGATGGACCTTTTTGTCCTCTGGGAGAAGAGAGACAGTGAAGTGCTAATTAGATAGACAGACAGAAAGAGATAGGGAGAGAAAGATGGAAAGGCAGAAAGAAAGTCACATAGATGCAGGCTGGGAGTCTGAAGTTCATGCTCCAGCCATGCTAGTGACCTTGAGAAAGACAGATATTCCCTGGAGATGTAAGGGTGTAAATGGTGTATAACCAAGAAATGTTATTATTACTCTATTTTTTGCTTTTACTTTCCCGTGAAAAAAATCAGGGAGTAGGAATTTTTGCAGGTAAAACATGTATAGACAGCATTACATATAGGCATACTGGGAATGAGGTGCCAATTAATAGCAGAAAGTGCTTTTTCTATTGGGGCAATTAGGCAGAATGAGGGATCCTGTTCAAAACCTACCTTGTCTTCAGGCCTTGTTGCTGGGGTCTCATTTTGTTCCCCAGACCTTAGGCCTATCCCAGTAGGCCAGCCAAGATGGTCCCAAGGGACAACTGAGAACTTGAGTTGGCCGAATAATTCCTAAAATGCCTATCCGTCAGTCCTGCAGAAGCAGCTAGGTTCCTAGCTTCGAGGTCTCTGTGGAATGCTGAAAATTAAGCTGGGCCTTAATTTTTGCACACCTTAGTCCCCATCTATAAAATAAGATAAATGGTAATATTTTTTCACCTGTCTTGTTTACTGAAATTGTAAACATTGATCTTTGATCCCTGGTCATTGGTCAAGCCCTGAGTATCACAACAGGATTAAGGATTCCCATCCTTAATCTCCAGTGGAGCCTCTAGGTAAAGCCAGGATGTACTCGAAAATGTCCCCATTTTCCCAGATGCCGTGGTGGCAGGTTCTTGTTTGCATCCTTTAAAAGCAGCAAAGGCAAAACTCTTGTATACATACAAAACAATCTTTCTTTGGAAGGAAGGGGATGGACAAAATGCCCTCAGAGCAATTCAGCATCTGTGATTTTCTTGATTCGCCTGAAAGCTCTCTATTTTGTTGACATATGAGCAGGGTGCCCTACTGTACATCAGCTTAACAAATAGCTGTTATCTTCTATTTCATGGAAGATACGGCGGAATATTATTTATTTGTGTCTGTTCTGTTGCCTCCTTTGAAATGTTGCTGTTGTTTGGGGCACCGTTCGCAGAGGAAGGCAGATGGCCGTCACAAAGTTTCCAGTAACCTTGCAGTGCATGCTGCACAGTGAATCAATTGAGTCTGAATTACAATCCGTTGTCTCAGATGGGAGTTGTGCTGCTAAAGTGTCCTGCAGTGGCTAAAAACATTTGAATGTCAACACTGCGTATGTACTGGGGAAACATGACGTTACTCCCTAAAATTTCGAAGCAGTGCCAAAGGGAATTTTTAACTGTGAAGTCTGATCTGATACAAACTGAGGCTGCATTGCTCAAGCCTTAATTATCGTCTTTTGAAATGCACTTCTTGTGAGTGTGTATGAGTGTTAAGTGTGACTCTCTTTAGAAAACCTAGAAATTATGAATCAAAATAGGATTCTAACCTGATATGCTAGACATGAGGATTTTTGGACTCCAAATAGCACCAGCTGCCCCTGTGTGCAAGCTGTATCTGCCTATATGACATTTGTAATGAGGCTTCAGGTGATTTGAGAAGCTGGTATTAGATTGCAAATCACCTTTTATGTCAGCTTGTGCCAGGATACCTTGCCAGAAGCCATTATTTCTATGGGAAATAATAACTGGGAATAGGGAAAAAATGAGCTTCTGAAAATCACTTCGTCACATTCCTTGGGTTGGGGCAGGCTAATGCTGAAAACAGTGTGAGTTCTTGCCATGAAAGCTGGCATAGTTAGAAATTTCTCTGTGGGAGGATTACCTCCTTTACATACCAGAGACAAGACGAGGTGTGTATATAAAACATCTTCAGCACTATCCCTCAGTGATTTGATTTTTTTTCACTCAAAGAGCAGGCATCCCAAAAGACATCTATGTTTCATACAGTCTGGCACCCTGATTTTTCCTGAGAATAGGAATCGTTACGAACATAAGGTCTGACCTCCTGCATAGCACGGGCCTGGGAATTTCAGGTGGTGACCTGCATGACACAAAAGTGTTTCTAGAAATGGTTAATGGTGGGCATGGAAGAAGTTAAACGTGTCTCCTCCAAATGTTTCCGGCCTTTTGCAGATGAGTACTTCCGTGTTTGTGTAGGACAGAGTGTCTCCCAAGTTCAAGCTGTCAGTCAACTAATTCCCGTAATACCTCCAGACAAGGAGTAATATCTCATGTGACTCACTGCTGCAAGATGTTTTATATAATAACTGGCTTGAGAATTTTGTGGTCTTTTTAAATACTAAAGGAAAAAAATCTGAAAACTTTTAATCCTATTTACACAAAAAGAGGTGAAAATCTGTTATTTGGGATACAGCAGACATTTAATCTCTGCTTTTAGAGTTTTTTGGTCAAAGAAATTACTTGTGCTAGGACATTTTTATCCCATCTATCGAGTCTTCTTACACAGTTTGCATCTGGGTTTGATCTTCTAAATCCATGTAAAGTTCTCCTAACTTGATAGGGGCAGATTGCAGTTATTTTAGAGCACTAGAATAACCAGTTGCTAAAAAATCTTATGAAACTCTTTTACAAAATGAGAAAGAAAGCATTTAAACAGGATCAGATATTTCTACAGAAAGCAGTCTGGTCCTAAATATACATCAGTGCAGATTCTGAATGCATCTGATGTATCTGTGTCTCCACTGATTTTCATAGAGTTTACCACTCTGTCCTAGCATGTAATGCAACAAGTGAAACCAGAGTAAGGTTTATGTTCTTGAAATATACAGAAAAATCTGAACTAAATTGAGGACTAGGGTAGATTCTTATCTCTTTCCTGTGATAGGAATCCATGAAAGTTCAGATAAACAGTTCAGAAAGTCTTATTTTAACTGTATTGTTCTAGAGCCAGAAGAGCTGTATTCCATCTACATATACATCTGTGTACGAGGTTGGAACTGATGCCTCGTTTTCTGTAAAATTTCTGCTTTTTAAAAAGCAGTTGCAGAGTGCCAGGATGTCAAAAATCTTCCAGAAATTGATCTTCTCAAATATTTCATAATTCAATAATTGGAGATTTGTTGTTGTCTGTCACAGTTACAAATGTGGAAAAAAAAAAACCTTCCCGCAGGTGAGGAGCTTGCGTGCAACGTTTCAGTCTCTGAACATCTGGGTCTGCAGTGAGTATCTGGGCAGTCCCTGAACTGCAGCACAGAATTGCAGATGAGTCTAAAATGAGTAAGAAACAGAGAGAGAGAGAGGGAACAGGGATGCAACCCAAAGCCCACTGAAGTGAATGGCAAGACTCCTATTGACTGCAGTGGCCTTTGAATCACACTTGTGGCATGTATCAGAAAGAAAAGTAGAGTCAAACAGTGTCAGTGTAACACATCTTACACAGGATAACCACATGCTCATCTTTTTACTTTCCCTCCCAGGATGGAAGGCGCAGTTTTATTGGCCACCAGCTCGGAGGGGTCATGGAAGTACCAAACAGCAAGGACCAGAGAGTCAAATCAGCCAGAGCCATCCAAATCACTTACTACCTCCAAACGTATGGCTCTGTCACCCAGGACCTCATTGGGGAGAAATGGGAGAGTGAATTCTGTAAACTGATGCACAAGATGCAGCTGGATCACCAAGATCTGCAGCTCTACTCCCTAGCGTCCTTCAGCCTCTGGAAGGACTTCCACGAGACCAGTCTCTTGGCCAGGGGCAAGATTTTGGTGAGCCTGATGCTGATTCTCCTGACTGCTACCCTCTCGAGCTCCATGAAGGACTGCCTGCGTAGCAAACCTTTCCTGGGACTCTTGGGAGTACTCACTATCTGTATTTCCAGTGTCACTGCGGCAGGGATATTTTTCATTACTGATGGAAAATATAATTCTACTCTGTTGGGAATCCCTTTCTTCGCTATGGGTAATTATTTATCTTCATAATAATAGGATTAACAGGGCTTAATGACAGGATTGTAAATTACATCCTGGGTTATAAAGTGCAGATTTTACCTTGAGTGAAAGTCTAAGTTGTTTTCATCTTGTTAAATTGATCTATGCGTTGCCAAAAAAAAAAAAAAGGAAAAAGAAAAGAAAAGAAAGCAGTAGCAACAATGAAGAGCGAATGACGTTGCTAGAAGCTTGGCCAATGTGAGAAAGGGCCAGTTGTATTGATTTCTGTTACAAAACAAAGGAGAAATTGTTACTGAAAACTAGTCCACTCAGCACAGAAAATGGATACGTGTTAACCTGACTTTGGTGGGAGGCCAGCTGAAAGATTAAGTTAAAACAGGAGGGAGACAAGGATGGAGAGGAAAGGTTTTAGCATCCTTCCTGATGAGGGCTTCTCTTCCAGGTCTGCATGAGTAGGCAGAGGGGAATGATTTGGTGTAAGAATAAGATTGATGGACTTTATCTCAGAGAGGAGATTATAGTAGTGGTGTTTGCAAGGCTGCAAGCGAAGGGGCCTGTCAGTGTCAGTAGTGCCTAATCCTTCGGCTTGTGAAGTCTGAGATCAGCTGCAGAGATTTTCTTTGTGTTACACCAGGGCAGGAGAAGGTGCAGCTGAAGAACAAATATAAGATCCAATTCTTTTAGCAGGAGAATTTTTTTCACTCTTTTTGTTCTTGTTGCTATTCCAGCACATTTAACGTGTTTGTGTGGTTAATTAGTTCACTAGGAAGGTATGTTGAAAGGGAAGAGGAAAATGTGCCTCAGCTGAGGCAGCATTGTTCTGTGCAGCCTCGTACATGTTGGTCATAATTTCACCATATCATGAGTTTGAAGAGCAGCAATGACCTTCTATGCAAAATCTCTGCAAGGCAGCCTAGAGCCAAAAGCTTGCTTTTTGATGACTGGAAATCTCATCTCTGGACCCAACTCTCTTTGCAGATAATTATCTTTGCAGATAATTTTTTGTTCTCCACTCATTTTTGTGGTACCCATGCCCAGTCCTGTGTTATAGTGATAGACAGCTAAATATGCAAAGACACAATCTAGAGTCAAGGTTTGGAGGAGGGTCCTACATTTTTCTTAAAAAAATCCAACTCCTAAAATAACACATTTACTTGTTCCTTGCCTCCAGAAAAGTCCTACAGGCCTGCACATCCCCCAGCCCTCTGCCTTCTGTTTTCTATGTCTTCTGTGCATCCATCTTGTAGGTCCTGCACCCAGGAGGTCTGGAGCAGCAGGCCAAGGTACCTTGGTGGGAAGGAGTGGATGGGCCAAATTCCAGAAGAGAAAGGGAAGAGTGAGGCAGAAGACCCCAAGGAACTGAATGGTTGGTTCAGCCTCGTTCATACTAATTAACAAAACAGTGCCAGAGCCTCTTATTCAGTCATCTACACCCTTAAATTGTGACAGTGGTCCCAGGCATGGTTTGGCCTCTGCCAGCTCTCACTCTTGCATGCCTATCCTAGGCACACACTGGGGGCTAGCTGAGATGATGTGGTCCAGGTGTAGCGTTTGTTTGGGGAAAAAAATGGAGTTTAGCTGCATAGATATGGCCAGACCATGCCTATTGGCTTCAGGTCCAGAGAACAAACCCTGACACTGCTTTGTTTATTAGTGCAGATTGAGCAGCTGAGGCTCTGGCTAGGTCTGTACACTGCTTTTATCCATCGGAGAGAGGAACTGTTTGAAGGGAAGGCAAGTGTGTCTGGCTCTTCAGACCCTGTGCACAGTTACACTGTGAAGTGGAAGACCTTTCCCAGGCTGTTTGCTCACAGGATGATGCTGGGAAGGGCAAGCGAAAGACCTCAGCAGGACGGGCAGAGAACATGCAGCACTGTGACAGGGATAGTTCCCAACTGACTGAGGGGTGTAGGCACAGGAAAAAAGAGTTCTGCATAGCAAACTGGGGAGAAGGAGGAAGGTGAAGCAAACTCACACTTGCTGCCAGATTCTGGTAACCTTTGCAGCTGGATTTCAGGAGGCTTGTGTCCACATGGACAATGTCTTGCTTATGCAGCAAGTTGAAGTACAGGCAAATAATGCTGAAGTGGTGAAGGGCATCTTCCCTCAATTGCTTGTTTCTCTGCTGATGTCCCTTTTCAGATGGCTGTAGAGATTGGTGACCCCCACATTTTGCTTTACCGATCTCAGATTCTTCTCTCCCAGAAAGTCCCAAACAGTGCCTATACATGAAGTTTATCTTCAGGCAGACCATAAAGCATCAGATTCATAGGTCCTGAGTGCATCAGCTGAAATGGCAGCAGCATTTTCTTCAATTTGTTCATCGACTGCTGTCACAAGAGGTAGGCAAGAGTATGAATTTCTGAAAGCGAAGTGACTCAGTTTCCCATTGAGGGTGGTAGAAATTTAGGAGTTGGTTTTCTGGGTGAGCTTACTAGGAAAAGTAATGTTTATATCTTCCTGTGGTGTTTTGTGCTGTCACTCTTGTCGTGGCTATTGACCACTAAAGAAGCACCTTTTTCAAAGCTCAGCACAGTGCGTTTAGCGGTTTGACTACAATATAAACAGCTAAAAGTCAACACCTCCTCCTATTTGCAGGTGATCCTGGCAGCTAGTCAGGGAGCTTTCTAAGAGTTGGTCCTCACTGATTCCAAAAATGCAGTGGTGGACCCTGTGCTGGGAAAGCAAAAGAAAAAAGCTCTTTTCAGGTGAGATATTTACAAGGATTGCTTCCATAACGTCATATTGAACCTGCTTCACGTTAAGAAAGAGAACATTTAAGTAGTCCTTCTACAGACATCTCATCCAAGAATCCCAAATTGATTTGGAAATATCATTAGACAACAGCTTGCAGTACCTGGGAACTGCTGCTGGCAAATAACAGTCCAACAGCTTTACAGCTTGATAAACTAAAATACACGAAGCATGAGTTATCAAAGTCATGTTGGGTTACATGCTGCAAAGTGCCACGTGCTTTTAGTTCCTTAAATAACAGTGCCAGCTAATGGTGCATTGGATTGCCTGTGATATACCCAGGACCTCATAAAATTGGTCCTTGTGTGGCAGTTTTCTGTATAGCCTGGTTTACAGTACAGTGGATCTAAGAACTTAAATGTAATCCTATGACATCTCAGTGGTGTCCCAAACAGAGATTGCCTGGAGTTGATGGGCAATACCAGAGAACAGGGCCTTCCAGCCTTTTTGCTTCTTCTAGATATTAGTTTTCTCATATCAGATTTTACCGTCACCTTTCTCTCCCTCCCTGTTCCTCCTGTATTGCCTATTAATTACCCTTAAGTTGGCCTGGTCCAGGAAAGACTCCTCTGGGCTTCCACAGAGTTGGATCTACCAAAGCCCCTCAAGGCTGTAAACTGTGAGGGGCTCTATATATCCATGGTCCATGTTGCACCTGGGCCTTTTACTGGTAGCAGGCCTTCACAAGCAAATTGATAAAGCCAAACAATAATTATGTAGATATAAATGAAAAAGTCTGTGAAGTAGAGTCTTATAGAATTACAGATGCCAGATTTACAAATCAGCCTTCCAAAGTCAAATGATAAAGATTAAATAAAAGACAAAGCAGACAACCACACAAGTTACAGCCACAAAGTGTATACAAGTGCAGTGCCACCCAGGATGCACAGGCGATCTTAATTCTGGCAGCTCCTAACCTTGGACGACTGCAGTCTGACATTTGCAAAATGTCCAGTTTATACATATACACATACACATACACACATACACACATACATACACACACACACATATATACACGTATACATATGCAGTTTCTTCCAAATTTCTTTTTTTAATGGAAGGAGGAAAAAGAAATTCCATGATGTTCATCTGCACTTGTCCTCTTCCTGCACAGCAAGATACTGCCAACTGAATGACAGTAATACTTGTACAAATTGCATATTAGGTACATAATTCCTGTTTGATGAAGAGCTTCTGCGGGTTTCAACAGGTGTTAGATGCCTACATAAAAGTGAAATGTTTAATATTTTCAAAAATTTGAACTGAATGACCAACACATTAATTATTTATGGTAGTCCTGCAGTGAGGGAATGGTCTACTGGGATACAGGGCTGGTGCTCAGGGATACTGGGGGAAGAAAGAGCCTTGGCTCAAACTAGTTCTTTATCCTCTTTGTCCTTAAAGGGGAGAAACTTTAGCCTCAAGTTAGGCATGAGGACAGTGATGGAAATCCTCTTTGGCCAGACTCCCTCATACTCCCTCTTCTAAAACATCTTCTTCTGGAAATCCACTCTCCCCAGCACAGCGTCCACCACTACCTTTTTGGAATCAGTGAGGACCAACTCTTAGAAAGCTCCCTGACTAGCTGCCAGGATCACCTGCAAATAGGAGGAGGTGTTGACTTTTAGCTGTTTATATTGTAGTCAAACCGCTAAACGCACTGTGCTGAGCTTTAAAAAAGGTGCTTCTTTAGTTTCATGGCTTCCTCCTTTCGGAATTAAAAGTCCTACTGGAAGTAATGGAGGGGTCTGAGTTTCTCAAAATAATGTTATAAGGTTTTTTATGATAGAAAGTGATATGTAATTTAAATATGTGCATTAACATCAGTAACCTTCCACTAAGAGAGCTATAAGGAAAAATGCAGTTTAATGCATGGAGTTACACTAGCTCTGGATCTAGTTTTTTGTTTGTTTTTCTTCTTTTAGAAGTCAAATTTTATTAATTGCTGTGTGAAATCAGAATTTGGGAAAGTTTTACCTTGTATCTCATGATGATTCCTCTTCCGGGACAATTACCAGCTGCAGTTTCTTCTGCAAGTTTGACACCAGCAGAGCTATCCTAAATTGAAATGTTTTACATGAGAGAGAGAGAGTCAAATCATTGGGTTTCTGATTTATTCTGTTTCTATGAAATGCACCTGGTTAGGTGTTCGCATCTGCCTTTTGTGTTTGGATTCACAATGCAATTTCAAAGGGATGCTATGCACGTGACATAATTATGATTTCCCATGTCTAATCATCACTAATTAATATA